ATAAATCACGTGCCGGTGGGTGTTGCCCATTGGCGGTTGTGTCACATATTTTGAGCGACAGGGAGCCGCATCAGAAGGATGAAAGAACCACATGCGGCTCCAGAGCTGCGGTCTTCCAATCCCTGGTGTACACAGTATTTCTTTTTTTATAGAAAGCAGCCTCATCCTTTTTTTACAGCCCAGTTAGTCCTCAGCTTACAGCAATTCATTTAGTGACCATTTGAACTTACGATGGCACTCAAAAAAATCGACTTATGACTGTTTTTCACACTTAGGACCATGGCAGCATCCCTAGGGTCATATGAATTCAGGTGCTTGGCAACTGACTCATATTTACGACAGTTGCAGTGTCCTGGGGTCACGTGATCCCCTTTTGTGACCTTCTGACAAGCAAAGTCAAAGGGGAAGACTGATTCACTTAACAACTATTACTAACAACTGCAGTGATTCACTTAACAACCGTGGCAAGAAAGGTTGCAAAATGGGGTCAAACTCACTTAACAACGGTCTTGCTTAGCTACAGAAATTTTGGGCTCCATTGTGCTCTAGCTGTATTTCTGTGCTTTGCAAAACAACAATCTTTCCATTGAGGTGGGTTTGCTCTTGTTGCATCTTTCGGAATCCTGAACAGCACAAAGTTTTGTGGAATATAAATGACAAAATAAGGGTAAAACCCGATTAAAATATTATAAATATCAGATGCACCATTCTAAGGTCTGTCACCCCCACAACAGGGGCTGTTGTTTTTTTCCCCCTAGCTGTGGCCAAGTGTGGGATCAGCTCAGGAATTCGTTTTCTCTGTAGGAACAGTCTTAATCTCTCTGGTTTTGTTCCGTTTCATTGTTAGAGCTGTTGCTTTCTTTTAAAAAAGGAAAGGGAAAAAAACCTCAACGGTATAATTTAGAAGAGTATAGCTGGAGCAACTTTTGAATAGCAACTTTTGAATATTACTTAGTGTATGTGGGTTTGTGTTTTTTTTTTCAGCAGTGCCAAAAGCCTTACTGAGAAATCACCAGGACATTGATGGGTATTTCTAAGGCTCCTTAGAAATTGTTTCTAAAATGTTATATACTTGGGCTGCGCAGTGCATCCAGTTTGAAGAAATACTTTGGAACAAGTAGTTAGAACACCAATGTGGCAGCTTTCCCAACTGAGCCCAGAGCTCTGCATTGCCTTACGATGTCTTTTGTGCAAAAAAAACCGATGGAATAGAAATATATTTCATTCTTGGTAGATTTATTGGCTGTACAGGTTGTCCACGACTTATGGCCACTACTGAGCCCAAAATGTATGTTGCTAAGTGAGTTTTACCCCATTTTACCACCTTTCTTGCCACAGTTGTTAAGTGAATCACTGTCGTTACTTTAGCAACACGGTTGTTAAGTGAATCTGGCTTCCCCATTGACTTTGCTTGTCAGAAGGTTGCAAAAGTGGATCACATGTACTCATGTGCAAAGCATCGGAGAGGCAAAACTTTCCAGTCTTGAAACATTCCGTTGCATGTTCAAGATCTCAATTTTCCCTTCCAGACAATTAACACGGACGTATTTTGCAACAGGGTCTTTTGAAGTGTTTTGCACATTCCTAACCAACATCTTCCAAATTCCCAGGAAGGAAGCAGTTCCTACCTTAAGGAAGAGAGCTCCTTCGAGGGATCCTGTGGTAGAAAAACTCCAGCAGGAGCCGCACACGGCCTGATCTTTGACAGGTGTCACTGCCCCTGGAAAGAGCAAAGAGAAATGTTTTGCCCGCTTCCCTGGCCATCCCCGCCACACTGTTGTGCTATTTACCTTCAAATCAGGGGTGGGTTCCTGCCAGTTCTAACCTCTTCTATAGAAGAGGTTCCACAAATCTACAGTGCCATTTAGAACTGGTTCCAGCTCCCTCCTGCTGCCCATCCGAACATTATCAAGATGAAGACCGAGAGGAGGAATTCTGGGAGTTGAAGTCCACAAGTCTTCAATCTGTCAAGTTTGAACATCCCTGGGTTTTTTTTCTAAAGGGTGAGGGGTGCGAGGATCTTGTAACTTGACAGCTTTAAGACTTGCGTGCTTAGAATTCCTCCTCTCACTCTTCATCTTGATAATGTGTGGACAGGCAGGGGGAGGGAGCTGTAACCAGTTCTAAATGGCACTGTAGATTTGTGGAACCTCTTCTATAGAAGAGGTT